TAGATTACATGATTTTGAGGTGTAAATCGGAGACTGGAACTTAGAAATTTGGAAATAAGATTTGTAGATTTGAGGGTTGAGTTGATGTCAGATTTTGGTAAAATTAGTATGGGTAAACTCGTGGTTCAATGGGCTTTCGGATTTTGTAACTTTTGTCGGGTTCTGAGATGTGGGCCCCACGGGCAATTTTTGAGGCAATTTCGGATTTTGGTCTAATTTTGTAGTTTTTCTTGTGGAATTAATTCCAATGAATTTTATTGACCGAAACGAATTATTTATGACCAGATTCGAGGCGTTTGGAGACCAATTCACGAGGAAAGGGCATTGCAGAATAAGAATTTTGCGGTTTGAGGTAAGTAACGATTGTAAATCTAGTCTTGAGGGTATGAAACCCCGGATTTTTGTATCATTCTACTATTTTTAGTGACGCACATGCTAGGTGACGGGCGTGTGGACGTGCACTGTTGGGGATTTGTGACTTGGTCCGTCCCATAACAATTGTAAAGTTGCATACTTTGTTGAAACCATTGATACTTATATGTTTTGGAAAGATTTTCTGTAAATTGGGCTGAATGCCATATTTGGGCCTTGCGCCAATGCTGTTTGGACCATTAGAGACTGTTTTTTACCATCCTCTCACTATTTTTGATTGAAAATTCTATATTCAGTCATGTTTATACTTGTTTACCGCATAACTCAGTTTTATGACTCTATTTTGATGCATATAAATGTTTTGGGCTGAATGCCCTGTTTTACTGAAATGCCCGAGTGGCTTGATTTGTGAGGATGAGTGTGGATCGGAGATGCCCGCCTGCAGCATACTTTATGACTGAGTGAGGCCGAGAGCCTGATTTGTGAGGATGAGTGTGGATCGGGGCTGCCAGCTTGCAGCATACTTTATTATTATCGCACGTGAGTTGTCCGTGCAGATTATAGCGCTTGGGCTGAAGGAGCCCCTCCGGAGTCTGTACACACCCCCAGTGAGCGCAGGTACCTACTGAGTGCGAGTGCCGAGTGCCGAGTGACTGGGAGGCAAGAGTGATTGTGAGGTATGCCCGAGTGGCAAGAGTGATTGTGAGGTATGCCCGAGTGGCAAGAGTGATTGTGAGGTATGCCCGAGTGGCAAGAGTGATTGTGAGGTATGCCCGAGTGGCAAGAGTGATTGTGAGGTATGCCCGAGTGGCAAGAGTGATTGTGAGGTATGCCCGAGTGGCAAGAGTGATTGTGAGGTATGCCCGAGTGGCAAGAGTGATTGTGAGGTATGCCCGAGTGGCAAGAGTGATTGTGAGGTATGCCCGAGTGGCAAGAGTGACTGTGAGGTATGCCCGAGTGGCACGAGTGACTGTGAGGTTTGCCCGAGGGGCTGTATATGAGTGATGTTTTGCCCGAGGAACTGTTTATGATTTCATCATTTTTTTTTGCTCACCTTTGTTTGAAAAATTGTTGGAAAAATGTCTTTAAATGATTTTTTTTACTGGAACTGGGTTTAAACGAGATGTTTGATTCAAATCCTGATTTTTAAGAGCATATGGTATTTTACTGAGATTTCTTGATATGAACGTTATATGCTTTATTGCTCGTCACTACTGCTCAGTCTTTATTTATTGTTGTTACTTACTGAGTTGGCGTACTCACGTTACTCCCTGCACCTTGTGTGCAGATCCAGGTGTAGCTGGACACAGTAGCTGTTATTGAGTGTTATTTTCTTGGAGATAGCAAGGTAGCTGTTTGGCGATCGCAGCCCCTGCTCTTCTCCCTCTTATCTTCCTCTAGTTGTATTTAGCTATTTTTTGAGTTGAGTTAGCCTTGATATTGTTAGACAGATTGTAGTATATGCTCATGACTAGTGACACCCTGATGTCGGGCTTTTCTTTTCCGCACTTCTGTTTTTCTTTGATTTGAACTCTTTAAATGAAGGTTTATGTTAAATAACATTTGAATTATCTCTGAAATGAAAATATCGGTTTGTTTTGGAAATGAGTCGGCTTGCCTAGTTCCACGATAGGCGCCATCATGAAAGGGGTTAGTTTTGGGTCGTGACATCACGTCTCTCCAGTACTTCTTTGGCCTGATCTACTTCTCCTAAGACGCATGAAGGCCAACCTCTCACACCTCATAATGGAGCATATGTGCCTCCTCTTCACATGCCTGAACCATCTAACCCTCGGTTCCCCTATCTCATCTTCTACATGAGCCACGCCTACCTTGTCTTAAATATTTCATTCCTAATTTTATCTATTCTGGTTTGCCTGCATATCCATCTCAACATCTTCATTTTTGCTACCTTCATCCTCTGGACATGTGAGTTCTTGACAGACTAATACTTTGTCCCGCACAACATGGTCGGTCTAACCACCTTTGTAGAACTTATCTTTAAGATTTTGTGGCATATTTTTATCACATAAAATACTGAAAGCGAGCCTCTATTTCATCCACCCAGCTCTAGTACGATGTGCGACATCGTTGTCAACTCCCAATTTCTTTGTATAACTGACCTAAGGTACTTGAAACTTTCTCTTTTGGGGATAAACTTGTGTATCAAGCTTCACGTCCCCGTCCGCTTCATGAGTCGCATCACTGAACTTGCACTCCAAGTATTCTATCTTGGTCCTACTCAACTTAAATCCTTTAAACTCCAGGGTCTGCCTTCAAACTTACAACCTCGTGTTAACACCACCTCCCCTCTAGTCAATCCGTACAATATCATCTACAAATAACATACACCATGATACCTCCCATTAAATATGATGCATCAGTGCATCCATTTCTATGAAAAATAAAAATAAGTTGAGAGTTGATCCTTAGTGCAGCCCCATTCAATTAAAAAGTATTCTGAGTCTCCTCATTGTCTTCAATGGGCTTTAAACTCCATCGTACATGTCCTTAATCGCCCTAATATATGCAAGAACCACACCTCTAGCCTCCAAACATATCCACATAACATCCCTCAGGACTTTATTGTAAGCCTTCTCTAAGTCGATAAACACCATATGTAAGTCCTTCTTCATCTCCCTATACTGCTCCACCAATCTCCTCGCAAGGTGAATGTCTTCTGTCATCGAATATCCCAGTATGAATCTGAACTGGTTTTCGAAAATAGATATACTCTTCCTCACCCCCAACTCCACCACCCTCTCCCAAACTTTTATAGTGTAACCAAGAAGCTTGATATCCTTATAGTTATCGCAATTTTGGATATCACCCTTGTTCTACACAAAAGGATCATCGTACTCTACCTTCATTCTTCAGGAATCTTCTTCATCCTAAAGATGACATTAAACAATCTAGTGCCCACTCCAAGCTTACCCTGCCCAGGCTCTTCCAAAATTCCACCGAGATTTCGTCTAGCCCGGCCACCGCATAGCCCCCTAGACCTCCTAGACTCTTATATGCCTACAATACCCTAAGTCTCGGTGACTCTTGGAGTGCTCCAAAACACCCAACGCAATGTTCCTTTCCCCCTCTTCATTCAAGATTTTATGAAAGTATGTCTACCATCTTCCCTGAACATGTGCTTCTTCCATCAAAACTCTGTCTTTCTCATCTTTGATACACTTCAATTGATCCAGGTCACGGGTCTTCCTTTCTCTCATCTTGACTAGCATGTACATGTTCTTGTCCCGCCTTTACCCCCCAAGTTCTGCACTACCTTCAAATACGCCATTTTTTTTGGCTTTTATTTTTTCTTAGACCTCTCTATTTCATCACCAGTCCCCTTGTGACCATCATAGTACCCCCTTTGATACCCTTAATACCTCTCTAGTAGCTTTCTTAATGCAATCCGATGTCGTGGTCCACATACCACTCACGTCCCCACTAGTTCTCCAGGCCTCCATAGCCAATAACTTCTCCCCAACTCCTAAGATTTGTCATTCATCAAGGCTCCCACTTGATCTTAGGTTTGACCATACACATCTCTCTTTCTCCTCTCTCTTTTGATCTCAAAGTCCATAACCAAGAGCCTATGTTGGATCGTGAGGTTCTTACTCTGGATAACTTTGCAATCCGTGCATAGACCTCTATTACACTTCCTCAATACTAGATAATCGCTTTGGATCTTGGCCACAGAACTTTGGAAGGTGACCAAATGCTAATCCTTCTTCTGAAAACTCGAGTTAGCTACCACCAATCAAAAGCTTTAACAAAATCCAACAATAAAGTTCCTCCTCGTTTCTATCTCCAAAATCGAAGTCGCCATACACATCATCATAACAGTCAGAAGTCGTTCTGATGTGGCCATTGAAATCTCCTCCTATGAAAAGCTTTTGTTGACAAACTAAAGGAGAGGAAATTAAATTATGTTAAATTTGGGATGGGAGTAACTGAATGCATAAATTGGGAACAGAGAACAAAAGTAACAAAATATGCTCTAGTTCACAGTTGGAAAACCAATTTTTTTTAGTATATATGCATATTTGAATTTTTATTACTATACACCTACTTTATATGCTGAATTCTTCAATCTTTATTTTATCGAACGAACCTGACTGAAAAGTAAACAGTTTAATGGAAATCATTTCAACTTGGTTACCAAAATTAAATTCAATCCAAACTGTATTGTCCTGCCAAATCTAAAAAAGTGCCATTAGAAAATATAACATTTAAATATAAGTAATTTCAAATATTATCTTATAAAACAAAATATTGATAATTAATTCTATCAAAGGATACGTTTGAAATATTATAATTTTTTTTTATCATTTAATTAGTTTCTTTATAAGAAATCCAAAATATAGCATGTGAGTAGATTATATCAAATGATAATAAAGATTTTATTTCAAAATAGAGAATGTGTGTGTATTATATCAACCAGCATAGAGAGATATAAATTGATACAAAACACATAAAAAATATATAAAATGAACCCATTTAAAATAAAGTTAAAACTTCTAATCCATGGAATAATATTATTAGTAAAGCTATTTTATACATTTTGAAACATTTGGAAACGAGGGTCTAACAAAAATTATTACTTCACTTATTAGAAGGGAGGAAATTGTACAAAGCATACCCTATAAACTATTCTCACATATCAAACCCTTTCTCCATTTGCTTCTTTCTTATCGGCCGATTCCTCAATCTCTCCATTTCTCTCTCTTTTCAATCTTTCAGGTAACAGCACCATCCTTCTCATGAAAGCTCAACGTCTTATTCCCGATATTAATTTTATCATCGGAATGTGTATTACTTTGTTTCTAGTTCTATAATTGTGTATCTGAGCATTGTTTTATTTTATTTTATATATAATTATTTTTGATGTTTTGATGTAAATGGAATCAAGATACGTGTTGTTCCATGTGTTTTTAAACTGATTAGATCTGAGTCTATTAATCATTTGAAGTAAATTTTGCTACTGTGGGATATTATTGTTTATTGGAGTTTTGGTCAGTGTTTGGTGAACTAATCAGATTGTTGTATTAGTTTTTTTTAATTTTGAGCATCTGTTTTGATTTTGGATGTAGGGTTTTAAAGTTTTGTTTGGATTGTCAGTTTGTTGTATTAGTTTTCTTAATTTGGGTTTCGGTTTTTGATTTTGGATGTAGGGTTTTGAAGGTCTGTTTTGATTCCTGTTTTTATTGGATAAGTAATACATCATCTGCCGAAACTGCTAGTAGTTAAGTTGAATAATGGGGAGAAAGAAGGGGACAGAACGCGAAGAGGATAACCCTGAGCCCGCCAAGCAGGTTGCGGGTGGTGGGGGAGGTAAGTCGAAGAAGAAGAATCGGGGGGTGATTGACGATGATGAGTACTCTATCGGAACTGAATTGTCTGAAGAACCTTCGGTTCAGGACGAGTCACTACCGGCTGCACCTGCCTTTGGTAAGAAAAAGGGCAAGAAGGGCAAGAAATCGGGGCCCAGAGATGATGACGACGATGACGATGAAATGGACGAGAAGCATGTTGTGAAAGAGGATGATGTGCCAGAAATTATTTTTGCAGGTAAAAAGAAGTCATCTAAGAAGAAGAATGTGGCAATTGATGATGATGAGTACTCTGTTGGAACAGAGTTATATGAAGAGCCTGTGGTTGTGGAAGAAAAAGTAGCAGGTGGCAAGAAAAAAGGTAAAAAGGGGAAGAAGGGTGGTGGGGCAAATGCCTCTAATTATGGAGTACTTGGAGAGGATGATGATGAGGAAGACAGGTTGGATCTAACGAGGGATAGTGACCAAGAAGATGAAAGCATTGCCCCCTTCTCTGGGAAAGTGAAGAAGTCGAAGCCGGGTAAAGGCAGTGCAAGTGTGTTTTCTACAGCTTTTGATACAATTGGTGATGAGGATGATGATGAAACTGGGCAACAATCTGAGGAAGATGAAGAACCAGTGGTTGCTAGTACAGGGAGGATTGGTGACAATTCATTTAGTTCAGCACTTCTTGATGAAGAAGAAGAGGCAGATACTTCTGTTTCTAAGTTGGAGGCTGAGACAGTTGAAGAGGATGATGAGCCAGAACTTATTTTTGCAGGTAAAAAGAAGTCATCTAAGAAGAAGAAAAAAGGTGCTGTCAGCATGAATGAAGACGATGTTAGGGAAGAAGCTGAACCTGTACAAGCTAGCACGTCGTTTAATCCTGAAGAAGCTGATGATAATAGAAGCAAAAAGCAGGTGCCAGAAACTTCTAAGAACAAAACCAAGAAGAAAAAGGGTGGGCGTACAGTTCAAGAAGATGAGGATGAGATTGACAAGATCCTAGCAGAGCTTGGTGAAGCACAAGCTCCTGCTCCTGCTCCTTCTGAAGAGAAAGTGCAGGTGCAAGATAAATCGAAGAAGAAAAAGGGTGGTAAAACGGTTCAAGAGGAGGATGACATTGACAAAATTCTGGCGGAAATTGGTGAAGGGCAAGATACATCTGCACTGCCTCCTGCTTCTCTTCCACAAGAGGAGAAAGATCAACTAGGTGATGATGCTGCTGAGAAGGAAGCAGTAGAAGAAGGAGCTGTGGAGTCTGCTGCTGCAAAGAAGAAGAAAAAGAAGAAGGAGAAGGAAAAAGAGAAAAAGGCAGCTGCAGCAGCTGCATCTAATGTGGAGGAAAAGCAGGAAGAAACAAAAAATGATGCAAAAGGAAAATTGACGGATAAGAAACAGTCAAAGCAGGTTAGGGAGATGCAAGAGAGACTCAAAAAGATGAAGGAAGCTGAAGAAAGGAAGAAGAGGGAAGAAGAGGAAAAGCTAAGGAAGGAAGAAGAAGAACGACTTCGTCAGGAAGAACTAGAAAGACTTGCAGAAGAGAAGAAACGTTTGAAAAAGGAGAAAGAGAAGGAAAAGCTCTTGAAGAAGAAACAAGAGGGAAAACTGCTTACAGGAAAGCAAAAAGAAGAAGCTCGAAGATTAGAAGCAATGAGGAAGCAATTTCTTGCTAATGGTGGGACACTGCCACTCCCGGGGGGTGAGAATAAGAAAGAGACAACTAAACGGCCCATTTATAAAACAAAGAAGTCGAAGCCACAAGCTCAGGCAAATGGCAAAGCCCAGGAAGAGTCTTTTGAAAGCACAGAAATTAAAGAACATCAGCAGGAGATTGTGTCCGAGGTTAATTCCATGGAAACTGAGAAGGTTGAGGATGTGGATTCGACGATTACAGAGGAGAAGTCAGAAGTAGCTGATGCAGAAGAAAATGAAGTTGAAGAAGAAGAAGATGATGAGGAATGGGATGCAAAGAGTTGGGATGATGCTGATCTGAAACTGCCTGGTAAGAGTGCTTTTGAAGACGAGGAGGTAGATTCAGAACCGCAACCTATAACTAAGAAAGAGATTAAGACTGCAAGTTCATCTGCTCATGACGCAGCCACTCTGCCTGTTGCTGCCAAGTCTGTTGTTCCTACTCAAAAAGCTGCTGCAACTTTACCAGGTGTACCTAAGAATGACCAAAGTAGGAGGGGTGAGCCTGAGGATAGGGTTGCCGACCAAAATAAGCAGAAAGACATCCCTGAAGACCGGGTAACAGGAAAACCTGGTGCTCCTCCTAACCAGAGTGAAGACAATCTCCGGTCTCCTATTTGCTGTATTATGGGTCATGTTGATACTGGTAAAACCAAGCTACTTGACTGCATACGAGGCACTAATGTTCAAGAAGGTGAAGCTGGAGGGATTACTCAGCAGATAGGTGCAACTTACTTTCCAGCCGAGAATATACGCGAGAGAACTAAGGAGCTCAAAGCTGATGCCACACTGAAGGTCCCTGGTTTATTGGTCATTGACACTCCTGGACATGAATCTTTCACGAATCTGCGTTCTCGAGGTTCAGGATTATGTGATATAGCAATTTTGGTTGTTGACATTATGCATGGGCTAGAACCACAAACCATAGAGTCACTTAATCTTCTGAAGATGAGGAATACTGAATTTATTGTTGCTCTGAATAAGGTGAAGATCATCTATACTGATGCACTTTTTTATGGTTTTATTTTGATTGTATTCTTTTAATTTCAGTTGCTTATTTTATTTCATTGATATTATCGCTATGCAGGTGGATAGGCTGTATGGATGGAAAGTTTGCAAGAATGCTCCCATTGTAAAGGCAATGAAGCAACAGTCCAAAGATGTTCAGTTTGAGTTTAATAATAGGCTCACTCAGGTTCTTATAACTCCTCGATTTGACCATTCCTCAATTGGTGGACCTTATCTCAACAGAATTCAGTTCAATTGTTACAGGTTGTTACCCAGTTCAAGGAACAAGGAATAAATACTGAGTTGTACTACAAAAACAAAGATATGGGGAAAGATACTTTCAGTATCGTACCAACCAGTGCTATCAGGTGTGTATATTTGTGCACATATTCAACAACCCCCCGTCCCCTTTTTCCCCCTTTTTCCGGGGTGTCCGTCTAGCACTCCATGAGACTGTTGATTTTGGCTAAATATGTTGATTCTCTGGATCTTATTGATGTAACAGTGGTGAAGGTATCCCTGACATGTTGTTGTTACTTGTTCAATGGACACAAAAGACAATGGTAGAGAGACTTACTTTCAGCAATGAAATCCAGGTATCATTTTCACATATCATCGTCAGTTAAATAGAAATTCTCAATATGGGTTGATTAACTGTTGTTACTCTTTGGCAGTGTACGGTTTTGGAGGTTAAGGTTATTGAGGGTCACGGGACAACCATTGACGTGGTTTTGGTTAATGGTGTGCTTCATGAAGGAGATCAAATAGTCGTTTGTGGCATGCAGGCATGGAACTCTCCCCTTTTCTTGTCCAAGTCTTTAGGGAGCCATTACTTCTTTGCTATGTTCAGATCCTCCATCGTGGAGAGTGTCTAACATTATAATTTTCCTCTTTTTGTGTGTAGGGACCTATTGTTGCCTCAATCCGAGCGTTACTAACGCCTCACCCAATGAAGGAACTCCGAGTAAAGGTATGGAACTACGCGTTCCTTTAGGCACTCCAATTTATTCTTTTTGCATTAAAGCATCTCTAACCTACTTATCAAAAAAATTTTCTCTAACCTCAGTTCAACTCCTTATATTTTCCTGAACTTGCTAGGCATTGAGGAGTACTAGTTGTTGTTAGTTCAGCTATATATAATTATTGAAACTGTGCCTTAATCGTTGCTATATCGTTGTGCCTTAATTGTGAAAGGTTATGCAAGATCATGAGGATGTTCAAATAACCTAAATTTCGGTCATGACTTGTAGATCTGTTTGAATCTAACATTGATCATATTCTGGTAATATCTATCCTGGGATTGTCAAGGTACTCACTGAGCTAGAGTCATTAGGTTTCTCAATGCCAAATGTGGCTTACAAAAAAATTGAAGTTTTGTGTGGGGGCTCTAGCTCAAGAAAGATGTGGCTGTATGGAAAGTTGTGTTCATGAAATCTGTTCTTTTTCCTTTTAAATTAGTGATAGGTATCAGCACCTGGTTTATTAGACCTTTATCTTTTGAGTTATGTAAATCATTTCAAGCTCGTGGATGCTTTCATGGACATGGGGCTGTTGAGCTCGTATATTACTTCTAGATTGCTGACATACTTAGACACACTTGGTTTTTACCACTTTGAAATTTCTCTGATCAAAGAAACAAAAGATCAGAAATTCGCTGAGGCTTCCAGAATTGTGTCTCAAATTCCAACTGCCCCTCCTAAAGTATGCTATTTCCACTATCAGTAGATCCACTTCAATTCTAATTTACTTTTCTGAATGTGGGACACAAGTCTGCTGGTTCAGTTATGTCCTAATTTATTTTTCTGCATTTGGACGTTCTGGTCCATGGAGTGAAAAATATCTGAAGAATGAAATGATTGTCATGTTAATTCCTTTGGATTTATCTGTACATGATTTATCTAATGAAGTACTGACGAAAGTGTCTTCTTTTGTTTGGGCAAAATCCTATTCAGGGAACATATTTGCATCATAAGAAAATCAAGGCTGCCCAGGGTATAAAGATTACTGCTCAGGTATTGTCATCTACTTGTGAATCTGTCCGAATAAAAAAAGCTATCATCTACTTGTAAATCTGTGAGCTCATCTTTGGTCAGTCTTAGGATCAAGCTTAGAAAGTCAATTGGGTATGAAATCTGATGCAGAGGCATAAGGGGATTATATGGCGACTGATCTGTAATGTATGTAGTTGAATCTCAGTTTAATTTGTAGTTAGAATTAGGTGATGCTATATTTGGGTTCCTGTGTTCTCTTTTAATCGAGAAATTATTTAGGATTATTTTGTGTAGGATTGGTCAGGCAGAGGAGGGTTTAATGCACTGGATATAGCTTTTGAGTCTTGATCACTGTTGAAAGTCTAGCAATTTTTCACAAAGATTTGGAGGAAGCATCTCAATTGCGCAAAATAAATTAAGTGGAGGAGCTATCTCTTTGACCTTTGCATGTACACCCCTTTCTTTCTCTCTTTTCTCTTGTCACAAAACCAACCAATCCACTGATGTCTCAGGTTCAACGAATTGTGGTGAAATTTGTGGTAGGATGAGAAGGTTATTCTAATTTGGGCACAGATATTCTGTCTTTTTCTTTTCCCTCTCTGTGATGTCCCTGAACATATTAGTTCTGTTGAGAATTTCTTATATTCCTAGGTTGGAAATTATGTGATACCTATGCTAATAGTTCTGTTGGAAAAGCCCGTATAAATATCATCCTATTTTGACTTAGGATAGTTGTAAGAAATCCAATGGTTGTTCTTGTGTATATTCTGTTACTTCAACGAAATTTGACTTGGACGTCCAACTAGCGAGCCATAACCTTTGAGTCCCTTGCATGAGTGTATTGATAAGTTTTGCTACTGATGTGTGATGCTGGCACTACTAACTATTTTGGTATCGATTCAGTGGTTTTTCCCATTAATAAGTGAGACTGAGGGAATTCTCCCTTGGTTCTTTTTGGTCTTGTGCAGGGCCTTGAGCATGCAATTGCTGGCACTAGTCTATATGTTGTGGGGCCTGATGACGACGTGGAAGACATCAAAGAAGCAGCTATGGAAGATATGAGGTCAGTGATGAACAGGATCGACAAAAGTGGAGAGGGAGTATATGTTCAAGCATCTACACTTGGATCATTGGAAGCTTTGCTGGAATTCTTGAAGACCCCAGACGTAAGCATACCTGTCAGTGGGATTGGCATAGGCCCTGTGCATAAAAAGGATGTCATGAAAGCCAGTGTTATGCTTGAGAAGAAGAAAGAGTATGCAACAATCTTGGCCTTTGATGTTAAAGTGACACAGGAAGCTCGGGAACTTGCAGATGAACTTGGTGTCAAGGTTTTCATGGCTGATATTATATACCACTTGTTTGATCAGTTTAAGGCCTACATGGACACTATCAAGGAAGAAAAAAAGAAGGAAGTTGCTGAAGAAGCAGTCTTCCCCTGTGTGCTCAAGATCGTACCAAATTGTGTCTTCAACAAGAAGGATCCAATTGTTCTGGGGGTTGATGTTCTTGAGGGCATTGCCAGGGTATTAACTTTCTTGTCTATTGTCTCATGATTCATTGATTTCATTCACCAACCTAATTGTTAAAAATAAAGGTACAGAAAAGAAAAATAAAAGGTAATGGAATCTCTGCATTTCATTTGGGAAAACCAGCCTGTGTGCACATCAGCAATACAGATGAGAATAGATGATCAATGTTTAATTGATCTCACTGATACTATTAGTTTCTTGCTAATTTCATACTTCCATTGGATTGGGGAAGGGATCTTGCTTGTTCACATTGATTTTCGTTAAATTTGAACTTCTTGGTATATAACCTTTCTTGAGACACAGCTGTTCTGACGTAAACAAACTTATGGATAGTCAGTATTCTGGAGACTTTTTGTATTTGTTTGGTGAAACTATGCTGTGGTGATATTCCAAGAATCGGTGTTTTGTAGGCTACTACTTGTTCTGTTCATTTAAAGTAACTTCTAAACTAATAATACATTAAATTACTTGGAGTTTCTCTATAATGTATTTACAAAATCTTCTCCTTTTCATTAGACTGCTAGCACTTGTGAAATATAAGTTTGCATGTATCTGCTCTCTCTATAATCTTCCTTAAAGTTGAGGATCCTGATTATGTAATAAGGTTCCATTGGAGCTGTTGCCGGGTATGATTAGAATCCATTTTTTCTGCTGGGTATCATTGTAACTGAGGTCTCTGCTATCAAAAGGTTATGAGCATTCTTCATTTACACCATGATTTTGCATGTCCAAGATAGGGTTTTTATTTTGTTTTATTTACGAGATTTGGTCCTTGGAAAAAACATTTTTTAGTTCTAAGCACATTCCATTTCTCTTCCATCATTGATTCTGTCATACCGCCTTTAGACATTTTACTCGATGAACATTTAACACATACAGAATTCAAGTCCTGTCTTGTTCTTGATCCTCTTTAGTTAGTTCTAGTTAGATATTCCTGCATAGATTGATAGGAGTGTGTAACATCATGTTCTCTCCTGGTTACCCCTTCACATGTATTTCACTTTATTGTTTGTGGCCATGCTGTAGGGTTCACATGATTAAGCTTTCCATTGTCATGCTGGCAGTAGTAGCACTCGTCAATTTGCTACAGTGTTGTGTTCAAAGAAAATAAAAGAAATAGTAGCACTCTTCAATTTTCTTTTACATAATCATCAATCATGGACTGCAAAATTTTCATGTGTATTTTGGTCCTCATTGTGCTGAACTTGATCTGAACAGATTGGAACTCCAATATGTATTCCTCAAAAGGACTTCATTGATATTGGTCGTGTTGCATCCATTGAGAACAACCATAAGCCTGTTGACTCTGCGAAGAAAGGCCAGAGGGTGGCTATTAAGGTACGAAGTGGTTGACACTTTGGATATATCCTTGTGGATTAGTTAGAAATTCTTACTTTATGACCTGTTTGTTGAATGTAGAGTTGATGTAGTAGTTTCTCTTGGTTCACAATATAATCGTTTTGTATCTCACAGTGACTTTTTTCATGAGTTTTAAGCAATTGATTTTGATCTTTGCTTATAGACCCATGAGGTCTCACTTATTGCACATTTTTTGCAGATTGTCGGATCTAACCCTGAGGAGCAACAGAAGATGTTTGGCAGGCATTTTGAAGAGGAGGATGAGCTTGTCAGCAAAATTTCAAGGAGGTCCATTGACATACTGAAGACCAATTTCCGGGTATGTAAAGTAGAGCTTTTGGTGAAGTTCCTTTTCTCTAAAGCACACCTTTGTTTAGTCGCTGCTCTTCTATTTTGAGCTACTTTCTAGTTTTGCTGACTACTACTTTTAACCTTCTACAGAAGGACCTGTCTGTTGAGGATTGGAGACTTGTCGTGAAACTGAAAACCCTCTTCAAGATAAATTGACACAGTTTATTCATAGCTTTTGGAAGGAGTTGATTCCTGGGAGTCCTATAAGCACCACACTTGGGGATAGCAGTTCATCGAGTAATAAGTGGTGATTTACCAGAAGCGAGGAGTTTGGGCTCCAAAATAGAAGGCACATCGGGGACGAAGATGAGTAGAAATGAAGTACATTGGCTTCTTCAAAGAATTTCCTTTGGTTGGTACTACGAGCGCATTTTGTACATGGGGTTTTTTTGGTACGAAAGTGTTAAAAGGAGCACAGAATTCTGAGAATTTTCACAGCGTTGACCAATTGTAGAGGTGAGTATGTTGTACTGGGGCGTAAAAGTTGGCAACAAATTTTGTGTGATACAAAATTGTGCTTTTGAGTTTGATATACAAAAACCTGCAAGATTACTGGTTGCTATTGTTGGCAAGTCCCAGTAATTCTTTTCTGTTTTCTCAGAATTGTAGACCATACACACACCGGGATATGAAGAAATTTTCTTCGACGTTGCAAATCCAGCCCTTAAATCGACGTTGATATGTTACACACATTTTTAAGTACACCAGCTCAATGTTCCCTGCCTTTTTATTTTACAATATCAATCTCTATTAACAGATACTTTAACATTGTGCCATCCATTGTTCACCATATCTTGTGCAGGAGAGAGCCTGAAAACTAACTGTTGAAGTTCAGCTCTGCTGATTTTTAAAACTAATTGCAGATTCAGAAGTACATATCTAAGAATTTACACACCCCTATATAACCCTTCCCAGCTACTCAGAAAAAGCATTCAGCGAGGAATAAGGGCAATTCATAAGCACCACCTACGATTAGTTCTAGTTTTGGAATAAGAAATCTTTCTCAATTTGGATTCTAACATCATAAATCTATTATTTTAGATGTAGAAGATTGTTCTTGGACCTCGAATGCGTTATATTTAACCGATAAATTTGATTCTTCAATTAGCAGATCAAGTTCCAATCTTTTGGACATTGGGTGCTAATTTATCTCCCTTTTAAGTAGTTATCTAAAAATATATACTCTCCTGTCTTTTTTTAGTTGTTATGTTTATTAAAGATAATTGGTTTGGGAATATACCAGATTTTTTGTTGTTGTTGTTGTTGTTGTCGTCGTCCTCTCTGAGCAGGAGATAGTGCCCTCCCCAAATCACACATGTGGGAATATACTGGGTTTATTGTTGTTATTGGTTCAAAATACTTTTCATTTTAGAAAATTAAGAAATAATTACTCAAATTTCTTTACCCTTACTGTAATAAAATGTGGAGAGGAATTAACGTAGTGAAAGTAAGAATAATACTTAATAAAGTATTGTCAAAGAATAAACAAGTACAATTTAGTCAAATTATCCTTTCAATTAATGTTTTAATAAGGTGGGTACAAAGCCTAACATAACAACTGACACTTAATTGGTTATTATAAAATTTAGAGTTCATAGAACAAAGATTGCAACTCAAAAGTGCGGATTACAAACATTGAAAAGAATTACTAAATTCAAGACGAAGATATTGTAGTAATTCATCAATGAATTTCTTGCTGTATAGAGTTTCCACCATTGACATCCATTAAAAAGCTTTGAAGCTTTGAAATTGAATTTGGATTTTCAAAACCCATTATTTGTTTGGATTGGGTGTTGTTGCAAACAATTAGGAATATTGTTTGGAGTTTATATCTCAATTTTGAGGGTGTTTTGGTGAATATTAGACTTGATTTTGGCTTAATTTCAGATTGAAACTCGAAAAAGAAGAAGAAGAAGACATGACATGCAATATACTTACGAAATTGTAGTAAAGTTATAGTAAAATCGTAGATAAATTGTATATATATATATTATTTAAATATTGTATGAAAGTTGAAAAATAGTTGTATTATGTATGAATCGTTGTATAAAATTTGTATTTAAGTTATCAATACTATCTTTTTATATAAAGTTATTGATATGTATCAAAATTTTATTAAGAGAGTAAGTTTTGATTGGAATTTTAGAGAGAAAGAAGCACACGCCATACACAAAATATATACAAATCAGATATAAAATATACAAAAGACATATTGTATAAAATTTGTATAATAATTATATTTAAGTTGTATGATATTGTAGTTGTATTTAACTGGGTAGAAATAATGTATGAAATTCGTAGATAAATTGTAGGTTAGTTGTAAATAAGTGTATACTGTATAGTTAGTTGCAATTCAATATAATAAAATCAAATGTAATGTGACTAATTCAATATTACATTCCAAGTCGCAATTGGCTATAATTTCGTTGAGGGTAAAATTTGATTATATAATTTGACCAAATAACTTGTGACTAAAATTGTCAAAAATGTCGATAAGTTCAAAATGTCTCTGTGCCAATTCTCAGTACTTGTACTGAGTATTTTCATTTGTCTAAGTAATAAGGAGCCTTATTTTCAAGTTGGTTACGTGATAGACATGCAGGCTTTCAGTACTTATGCTGTAGTTTTGATTTCCTCTGCATTACGAAAAGTAATGCATGTTTAAGTAAATCAATTGTGTTAAGCTGATAGCATAATCAGATAAATATTATTCGTTGAAAGACATTTGCTAAAGAAGAATTTCGTGATGCTTAATTGTGTGAATATTAGAGTTAAATGCCAAGAGGTGTTGTTATGTCAAATATCACCAGTTTTTCAAATTATACATGGGGAGGCAACTAGATTTTATCATCATACAACTATTTTTCAACTTTCATACAACATTCAAATAAAAAAAAAATATATAACTACAACACAATACAATTTACCTATAATTTTACTACAACTTTACTACAATTTCGTAAGTATATTGTATGTTATGTCTTCTTCTTCTTCTTCTTCTTCTTCTTCTTCTTCTTCTTCTTCTTCTTCTTCTTCTTCGAGTTTCAATCTGAAATCCATCCAGAACCAAGTCTAATCTTCACCAAGCACCCTCAAAATTGAGATATAAACTCCAAATAATATTCTCAATTATTTGCAATAATACCCAATCCAAACAAATAATGATTAAAACCCAAATTCGAATTCAAAGCTTTATGATAGATTAGTGTTCGAATCTTCAATTCTTACGACATGGAGGTTACTTCAATAGGTTGATTGGTATAAGACACTTTTTAGGCTTACCTTATTGAGAGAGAAAAACAATGAGAGAGAAAGATGAAGAAAGAAAGAAAAATTGATGAGAGATGCGGCAGTGAGGAAAGAGGAGAGGAGAGAAAAAAAGAAAAGGATGTAACTAAATCCCCTAATTCAAGGCACTAATAATGGATTGTATATAATTTGTAAGTAATCTTTGTTTAGGGTGGGTAATATATAAAACTACGACAATTTTGATAAATAAGTTTCAAATATTGTATAGGAATGAAAAAAAACCCTAAATTTAATTCTTTAATTAGCAAATCAAGTTCCAATCTTTTGTTGGCTATTGAGTGCTAATTTATCTCCTTTTTAAGTCGTTAATCTAAAAATATATATATTCTCTTAGGTCTTTTTTAATTATCATGGTTATTAAAAATAATTAGTTCAAAATACTTGTCATTTTAGAAAATTAGAAAGAATTAGTAAAATCTTTTAACCTTTACCCTTACTCTAATAAAATATTAGAGAGGGATTAACATAGTGAAAGTAAGAATAGTACTTAATAAAGTGAGATCAAAGAATAAGTAAGTACAATTTAGTCAAATTATCCTCGATTAATATTTTCATAAGAGATGTGCAAAAACCAAACATGATAACTCACAAGTAAAAGAGACTAGAGGAACTATCATATAATTAGTGGCGTAGTTATATTGGGATAAGGGTGGTCAAGCGAAGACCCTTCCCCGAAAAATTATACCGTATATATAAGTCAAATACCAATAAGTATATATTATATTTTAAACACCCTTTATATAGTTGAGAAGGATATTCTAATGGCTAGAATCCTAGTGTTAACATTTGTATATGCCCATTTTGTTTTTTTAAAACTACATGGAGACGACATTGGTCTATTTGACTATCTTTTTGTCCCGAAAGCCTCGGGTGAATTTTGGGGTAGTTTCGGAACAAGTTGGAATTGCTGATTTTCTGATGTGTTGCAATGAATCGCGATCACGGAGAAGCAAGGGGATCAATCCAAGGTGATTAATGGGGTTGATCAACGTACCCTACGAATTGTGTGCTTTCTTTGTGAGTGGCTGATATGGATTGTGTTTCTCCACCTGGATAGGTGATGTAAAAATATTCTTATAAATAACTCTTCAAAATTAACAATTTAGGTAAAATAACAGACAACTAATCTTAAAAATTGTTTGTTAATTAAAGTTATTCACTAAATAATATCATAATTTAAAAGTCGAACTCTACAAAAAAAGAATTGTACGAAAATATCTTTAGACTACAAACGTATGAACTCTCTCTTTCCTTTGGTTCTATGCTTACTTTTATCACTACAATTTTTTTGTTGTCTTTTTATGTTAGTTTTTTATTTATAAAATTGTAGTTCTATTATAGGATTTGTTTTTATGATTTAGCTAAATAGTAGCTTGATTTAAAATTTTTGGTGCACCATTCATTAAAAGAATTATTGACTTCTTTAAAGTTTGAATGCCCTTGACGTCTAGTTGGCGAGATTCCTGCATATATTAATTTCCCATTGACTTGAATCAACTTGTTGTTTTCTTTTTCCCAATAAATTAGTCTCTATTTACTTAATTACGTTCTTAAAAGAAACTGTAGGCTAAATAATTCATTTTGGTGATTGTTATCCTTTTGCTGCAAAGAAGAAAGAATTGTACTATAGTGATATATGTTAGTCGATTACCTGGAAAAACCAACTTAGGATACACAAGTAAGTAGTGCAATGAAAACCTTAACCAATTCCTATTCTGTTTTGGTTTCCTAAAACCTTCTCCTAAATTTAGTTGGAAAAGGCCTACAACTCTATATATAATACTTCATCTCTATTTGTTTAGCATATGTTTAGGGTTTTGATTCACACATTATATCATCTTCTATTCCATTGTTTAAGTTTAATGAAGGTTTATTTAATGCAGGTTTTTGCCATCCTATCAGACTATGCATTTGGTGTTAGAATCTATAAAGCCATTTTTTCATGAGCCGTGGAATTCCAGAAAAGAGATACCACACCGGATTAGATTTAATATGTGGCAACAATTTACGATAAGAATAAATTAAAATTTATTAATACTTATTGTATTCATCTAACATTATTAATTTTTTTTTTTGCAGGTTAAGTGAGTATGATAGCCACCGCTTCGAAATGAGGTGAATGCTAATTTTGAGAAGAGAGCACAAAATCGGATATTATACACATCATGTTTCTCAAAAAGGTCGAACCAAACCTGATTGGATACGTGAAGATGTCTAGGATAAAATCTTGGTGAAGTGGAACACCCCTGAATGACAGAAGAACAGTCAAAGGGCAAAGGCAAACAAAGCCTCTACTAAGAGTGGAGCGTTGCATACTAGAGGTTCAATTTGAGATGGGAAAATGCATAAGTACCCCCGACCTATAGCCAGATTTTCAACTACAAACTTTATGTTTGCGGGGATCCTATTACCCCCCTGAACTATTT